TTTTTTTTTTAACACTATAACCTTCGAAAATTTCAGAATTCTGTTGTTAAATCTCTTTTTTGCTGGGTTGGAATTTTTAATCATACTACTAATCTCTTTCTTGCAAAAATTTAAGAAGGAAATCTATAACGACACTTTAAAGGAAGGAAGACTGCATCACTAAAAAGCTCAGGTAAACATATTTAACAAGGTATTTAGAGTCAACATGATATGCTGAATGAATGAACAAATGAATGAATGAAGTAGCCTCATGTGTGAGGTAAATAGGAATGCAGAGCAGATATTAACATTCCAGCTTTATTGATATGGAAACTAAGGCTTGGATAAGGGAAGAGATTTGCCCAAATTGCACAATCACAGTAATATGTGGTGAAGTTCATGCCAGAATTCCAGTAAGTCCAGTAAGTCCATTAATGTTTCACATCTCAGATTCTCATTCTAACAAAAGCAACATGAATCAATATTCTCCAATAATTATCCCAGCTGTGTTTAAGATTTCTCCTTATCAAAACTTAATTTATGTTTAGATCCCTGAATTAATGCAAGTTTCTTGAAATAAAATGATTTCACCTGGAAATAGAAAAAAAATTTAGTGTATGATTATAGACAATTCTGCTAAGGGGATATGTGGTCTAATTCTAATGCTTTAAAATGAGAAAAACAAGAGTCGTTAAAATTATGGATAGGGAAGAGCTGGTAGAATTGTATATAAACGTGCTGCTTGGCCATTTGATATATTGGGAATTTTTTATCTGTCATAAAAAGACTTTCAATGGATAAATGCGATTAAAGATGGCACATATGAGCCTTAGGATATTGTGGAACATTACCACCTCTTTTCCTTTTACCCCATTTTGTACCTATGTATAATATTTAATTAAAATATTAACTTACAGTTTAATTACATTAAACTAACCAATATAATCAATAAAAAATACTGTCTAAAATGTACATGAAGGGCAAAAATATAAATTTTATCATATTCCAAAGGATGCATTTATTAGGTATATACTATATTTCAAGCTCCAGAAATATAAAAGTGAGTAAGACACCCTCCCTGTCTTCCAACTGCTCCCAGCCTGGTCAAAGTAGAGACCCCTGAACTGCTTTCGCTGCCCTGGAATTTCTTCCTGCAACACCGGACTCTTCCTAAATGTTTCCATTTCTTTCAAGTACAATTGTTGTAAGTAACCATTTTTTAAACATTTGCATAGCACTTTATTATTTTGAAATTAATTTATCTCCTTTCATCACCACATCAATCATGCTTGATCTACATGAAAAATACTATAATTGTACTTTTTAAAATAGATGTACTGAGATAAGCTGAGTTACTTTAGAATACTGGTATCCTAATTCCTTGTTCAGCGTGTACACTTTCTTTTTTTTAAAGATTTTATTTATTTATTTGTCGGAAGGAGAGAGTGCAGAAGCGGGGCAGCGGGTAGGCAGAAGGAGAAGAGGACTCCCCACTGAGCAGGAAGCCTGATGCTAGACTGGATCCCAGGGCTGGGATCATGACCTGAGCTGAGGATACACACTCAACTGACAGCTACTCAGGTGTCCTATGTATATACCTTCTTATACAATGAAGTCAATTAGTAGAAAGAGGTTGGTCCTTAAGTTACATAGATATGGATATGATTCTTGACTGGGCATGCTACTTAGCTTCTCTATCTTAATATTTTCATCAGGAAAATGGGGCACAGATTTACTCTGTGGGTTTATTATAAGGATTACAAATAGTACAAGTGACTAGCACAAATTAATTATGCAAATAATAGCTATCATTATCCTGATATTGCCTTCTAAATCTGGCCACTTAACAAAATATGCCATGCTACTTTTTTGTTATGAAAAATATTTTCTTTATCCTTGTTCATTTTAAGAAACAAAGCTACTTGAAATCTAGAATTATGACAAGGTGGTAGAAAATAAATTTTAACAAAGTAATACTGAATGAGGGAAGAAATTTCACCAGCGTTATAAGTGACAACCACTCCAGCATTTGGTGTTACAGAATATTATGCATTATCATTAATTTCAGCAATAATATTTTAATGAAATATGTCTATGAAAATATTAGCATACAATAGAATATCATAATGGGAAGAAAACAAAGGGAATTAACCTCAGTTATACTCAAAACATAATTATTCAAGTTCTAATTACAGTAACAAAAGTGAATTTTTAATTGAATTTTAATATAGTTTTATATGATACATATTTTGTTTTATAGTTCATAAGAAATCTTTATTGACTTTTTAAAAAAATTCTATGTTGTTAAGATGATGATTTTCACAGTTTTTGTGATATTGATGGTATAGCATAGTTATATGTGTCATGAAAGCAAATCCACCATGGATATTATGGGAATGAAGGATCTTATCACTGGAACTAGACTTAGCAGGGAAGAGCTGGGAAGGAATGGACCACAGAGAAGGCAGAGGAAGAGAGCATGCCTCTTAGAGCTCTGGTGTGGATAGACAAGTCAGAGTTCACAGGGAAATGCAACCACCAAAGTGGTCTCATGGGAACCATAGTTTTGACTTGGTAGTTCAACAGCTAGGTTGCCATTATGGATGGATGGCATGGATGATATTTTAAAAGTTCATTTTTTTAGGGGCAACTGGGTGCTCCATTGGTTAAATGTCTGCCTTCTGCTTAGTTCATGATCCCAAGTCCTGGAATCGAGCCCCACATTGAGTGCCTTGCTCAGCGGGGATCCTGCTTCTCCCTCTCCCATCTCTCTGCCACTTCCCTGCTTGTGAGCTCTCTCTGTCAAATAAATGTAAAATAATTAAAAAATAAAAAGAAATAAAAGTGGATTTTCCACATGGTTACAGCCTTATGTGTCATGGGAACATAGAATTTCAGAAAGAGAAGGGATGCTCTTTGGAAACTATTGAATTTAATACTCTCAACAATGAGAGAGCAAGGCTCAGAGACAGTTAAGTTGGCCAAGGGAGAAGAGATGAAGGAAAGATTTAAGATGGACAAAAAAGAGGAGGGAGCATGGTGAAGCTTAGCGGAGGAACTATTCCTGTGGGAGCAGCATCCTGTGGAGGGCTGGGTTGATGGGACACTGATAAGGGTAAGGCTGGGCAATAGCCAGTTTAAGCCAACCAAGGCACTGGGCAATTACTGGCAGGTGATGCTAACTACTGCTTCAGAGAGGTACCCTGACAACTATCTGGCAAAAGAAGAGGGAAGGCTCAGTTAAAAGAGACCTCCAAAGAAGAGAGATCTCAGCTACAGAGAAGTTGGCCTGTGTAGAGAGGTATCCAGGGCTAAGAGAGAACTTAGGGCTCACCTTTTATTACCTCCCAGTATCCAGGGAGAAATGAAGCCCTGGGAAGACTGAGTGAAAGGTGCTGAAGTCAGGACTGGGATTAGAAGTCTGTTTCCTGACCCCAAAACTATGTTCCTCTGAGGCCAGCAGAGTCTCTAAGCACAAGTTGTCCAGTAGGTAGAGATGAAATATAGGCAAGAAGATTCAATTAAGTGATGTGTAACGATGAAGCCCAAGATACTGTGAAATTGAGACTTCATTCTCTAATATAGGAAAACAGGATGATGTGGGAGCTTCCCTTGGTCATTCTCCCTCTCAATAGCCCTGGTACTTCCAGCTCTTTTGTCTCTTTCCTTAGTAACAGGATTCTATTGAGTCCAGATCTGGGCTTAAGTCTTGCCTGAAGTTATAAACTACATAGTGAAAAAGTTGGGACAGTGTTTTGGGACTGCTTACTTTGAGTTCTATTCCTTTGGGACAAGTTCAATTAATCTAATTTTATTAATCAAAAGTTCAAGGCATTGAAAGTATTTGAATAAGAAGTTAAAATTATATTTCTGAGGACCCTACATCTAGTCTGCTAAATATATCTGCTTCTCTACTGCCCATGATTCGTTATATAGGAATCACTTCAAAACTCTAAGAAAAAAGGGGGAGAAACAAATGTCAACTTCAAATGCCTTATTGAAGGACACCACAGTGTGATTCACTTACAAAGAGGAGACTTGAATTCATATCCACGGGAGAGTTTCTTTAAAAAAATTCCATAAGAGTGATGAAGAGTAGTATCAAAGTAAAATGACACACACTGTGCCTGAAGTTTTTGGGGAGTCCTCTCAATTTATAGCTTATACGGTCATTAAAATCATCATAAATTATTGTTAAAATTATTTAACTTCTAGGAAGGTAACTTAGAAACAAATAATTATCACATTCCTAAACCTATCGAGTCTATCATTGTAATTTGAAGGAACAATATTTTGCATTGGCAAAACTGAATTAATTGAGTATACACGAATCCCACAGATCAAAACCTGAAATAAAGTTTTAAATTTGTTGTTAAACACAGCTCAAATGTATGTGTCAGATTAACTCTCAAGTCATTCAATAGCAAAAGCACTTCAAATACAAAAGCGTAGACATGATTTCAGTCCACTCTAAACTGTTATTAATATCATACTTGTATATTTGAGTTTCACAGGAAGAAAAACAGAGGATACTTTAGGTTTGAAGAATGTAGAATATTGACTTTAGAATTTGATTAATTTAGGGATATATTTTAAGCTCCAACTTTGATAGAAATAAAGATGAGAGAAACCTTTCTTTTCTACCTAGGCTTTTAAAAGTAGACCACTTTTATACATTTAAACATTTACTAAATTGGACATCTTCAATGAAAGCAAACTTAAGACTATTAGCATATATAGAGAATCATTATCTTGAGTTGTCCTTTTTGTTTTGAAATGGTAAAGAAAAGCAATGAATAATCTAATAAATATCAAATGTCTGAATAATTAGCTTCTCCTTAATTTTGTATTAAAAATTATCTTCTTAGATTTTCTACTCATTTTAGAGAGGGAAATATTACCAAAAACATTCAAAATCAAGATATAATCAAAACATTTAAGAAGTATGTGAAAATAAAAAAAAACTAGCTCAAAGAAAAAATAACCCTAAATTTTTCTCATAGCTTTTAAATTTAACTTACCTTGTGAAAAATCAGGAGATTCTAACTTTAGAGTCCTCTCTGTGCAGTTTCTCCCAAACTCAGCCCTTATGGTGAGTTTTCTCTCTGAGTTTTTATAGTTTCAGTTATACACCCCTTACTCCAATCCCTGCCTTTGCTTTCTCTTACATCATTTCTAGATTTTCCACTGAACATTTTCCCAAGCCTCTCTTTAATCTCTCCCCCCACTCTCTTATTTTATTTCTCTCAGTTTTTCCTCTTTCCCTCTCCTACTCTTCTCCATATTTATTTTATCTATTGCTTTGATCATGGTATTTAAGTAGCACAGGATCTTGGGCTCCGGAAAATTTAAGTATACATTTATTATCGTGTTCAGCCCTAGACACATCACTTCTCCCTGAGGTTTTAGTCTAGCTCGGATAATTACAAATCATATTTGGGAAATAAAAATGCACTCAGATTTGTCAGAAAGAAACTCACTAGGGTATTTCAAAGTAAGATTTAGGGAGATCATAATCAGAAATGCAAACTGATTTACTGGTGTATTTTTTGGACCTTTAAATGCAATGATCATCTATGGAAATGGTGAGTGGTTTCAGCCTAGGTCAGGTGCACAGTGCTGTGTCAGTGAAACTGACAGCGACTTCAGAATTAACATTGCTATACTGGGAAGGTTGTCACTAACAAACCTATAAATACTGAACTGTGACATGTGGGCTATAAATGCAGATGTTGTAATCATTCTTATCTTTCCCAGCTCTCCAGTATTTTAATTTCCTTTTCACCAAAACATTCCTGCCTCTGTCTGAAAATTTTCTTCTTTCCCATTTCCTACTAAGCGCATTTGCAACCTTACCCACACAGATTGTAAAAAGATAAGTTATTAAGTCCTAGAGGTATTATGCTGTTAGATCATTATTAGTGCATTTGATTCGACACTAGATCTCCATCTGACAGATAAGGAAACTGAGGCTAGATACATTAAGTGACTTTATAAGGCCACAGCTAGGAACTAGTAGTAGAACCAGATTTCAAATGCATATCTTAATTTCATATCCAGTTCTTATTCCACAGCTTCATCCTGTCTCACTTTTTAAAAAGCTAGAAAAGGAATCCAAGCCAGATTATGTTTTGTGCAAATAGAAATAAAATTGTTCTTTTTGGTTTTGCTTTCAAAGTCATTTAAAATACTAGTCACCAGTGTAGAAACTATTACATGGTTAATTTGGATCTAGATGGGGAACTGACCAGAGCACACTGAATTGGTGGGACAGTAAAATACTTTTTTTTTTTTTTGAAGGGTTTCCAGGGATAACATATGCTCAACAAGCTTGAAATTTGAGTAGTTGGCAGTGATAGTTCACAAGTCAAGATAAAAATACAGCCTAATTGTGGACCCTTGTTTAGACATTACTGCCATAAAACGATTATGTGAGCTTGAATCCACATGATGGAAAACTCTCAGTATAGATTTAACGGATGCATCGTAATGCTACACGAAGCCAATATTCTTGACGTACCTTCTACCCTTATTTGAAATGCCTCTCTCAGCATGCTGACAAGTGATATCTGCGGCTGATTTATTCCAGATCTGTCCCTGCTTAGACAGTCCAAAGATTCCACCCTATTTGTGGATTTTGTTGACCTAATTCAAAAGTTTGACTTAACTGTTCTGCAGCAGTAGAAATAGCAAGTTTATTCCAGGAACATAACCATGGTACATTTAAGCCATTTATACAGGGTTCTGCACATTATATATCCCTATGTAAATTGTTTATGCATTTATACATGATAGGGAAATTCTTTTACCTTGAAAGAGTAGAAACAGGAGCATATGAAGAAATTGAAAGAGAATATGCATCCAGTGATAGAAGGGAGAGACTAAGATGAGAAAGGGAGAAAATATTAATGAAAAAATTTCAGCTAGTGTATCATTATTTAATTTGCATAAAAACCTTGCCGAAGAGGTATTACTATTCATATTTAACAGATGAAAAAAACTAACGCTCAAATATGTGAAATGCATAGCCCAAGGGCTCACAGCTACAAAATGATGGAATCAGGAGTGGAACCTCACCTCTGTATCTGTCAGGATTGTGACAGTAAAGGGATGGCATGTTGAAATGGAATAATTTGAGGAGAATTTAATGTGGGCAAGGTGTAGAGGAACCAAAGAGGATAGCAGAGTACACAGAACCAATAATAGCAGGTATCCTTAGTCTTGAAGGCTTAAAGGTAAGTAGAGGGATATGGGTAGACAAAGTTGCTTGGCAGAAATGTGACCTTTCCTCAAGGGACACAGCCAGTCAAGAGCAAACTACAAGGGAGGGAACTTAGGAAATAAACACCAAAATTTCACTCTGCTTTCTCAGTATAATCTCCTGTTTTGTTTACCTTCAGTCAAACCCAACTGGAAAAGGGATTGAATGGGGGTAGATAAAAGAACCAGCACATTATTTAACCTCAAAACTGTGTTAAAAGACATTCAAAATGAATTCCTTTGTGAAGACCAGCTTGACTGCAAAAGCCACGATTTACCTGAATTAAAATCTGATACTTCTTAACTTTTTTTCCAAGTCCAGTTTATTGAGATGTGATTTATTCACAAAATCTGACCTTTTAAAATGTACAGTTTTAGGAGTTTTGACAAATGTAAACATTATGTAACCTCCACTAAAATCAAGATATAGACTTTGTCTATATGACCCTCACCAAATCTCCTTCCTGTCTCTTTACAGTCAAACCGATACCCAACCACCAGGTCCTGGTAACCACCGATTTGATTCTGTCCCCGTAATTTTGCCTTTTCCAGAATGCTGTAGGAAATTATACAGTGTGTAGTCATTGGTGTCTGGCTTATTTCAGTTAGAATAAAGCTTCTCTGATTTATCCATGCTGCTAAATGTATCAACACTTTCTTCTTCTTAGTAAGAGTGTGTGCTACCGGATTGGGTGTACCACAATTTACTTATTCATTCACGAGTCAGTGAAAATTTGGGTAGTTTCCACTTTGGAGTGATTATGAATAAAGTTGCCATAAACATTAATGTAGAAGTCCTTGAGTTGATATTTATGTTTTCATTTCACCTGGACAAATACAGATACTGGATTCCTAAATCATGTTGGGAGTGTATGTTTAACTTCATAGGAAATAGTGAACCCGATTTCCAAAGTGGTTCTATCATTTTCATTCTTACGAGATATGTATGAGCGTTCCATTTGCTCAGCACCCTTGCTACCATATTCTTTGACATTTTCAAAAATTTAGCCATTCTAATAAATGCATCCTGGTATCTCACTGTGTTTTCATTTGTATTTTCTTAATGACTAATGCTGCTGAGAATCTTTTCATGTACTTATTTCCCATTTGTATATTTCTGGTGAATGTTCACATCTTTTGCTTAATATTCAGTTGTAAGAGTTCTTGAGCTATCTGGACACAAGAATTTTATAAGATTTGTTTCACAATTATTTTTCACTCTGTGACTTTTCATTGTCATAACATATTCTTCCACAGAGTAGGTATTTTTAATTTGATAAAATCCAATTAAGTATTTTTAATTGATCATGCTTTTTGTGCTCTAAGAAATCATTCTGATCCCTTTTATGTAGAGCTTTGATTTCCCCTGACAATTTTTTAGTTTTTAACAGCATATAAATCTTGCACTTATTTTGTTATATTTATTCCTGTTTAATTTTTTTGTTGAGGTATAATTGACATATAATATATTAGTTTCAAGTGTGCAATGTAATGATTTGATATTTGTGTACACTATGAAATGATCACAATAGTTATCATTGATCTCCACACAAAATCATAATTTTTTTGTTTTGATGAGAATTTTCAAGAGTTACTTTCTTGGCAACTTCCAAATATGCAGTACAGTACTATTAACTATAGTCTCCTGCTGTACATTATATCCCCATAACTTATTTATTTTATAACTAGAAGTTTGTACCTCTTGACCCTTTGACCTGCTTTACCAGTTTTATCCACCTTCAACCCCTTATTCCCTAGTGAATTATAACATTGATCCCACTTAGTCATGACATATTATCCTTTTCTGGATTTGATGTGATACTACTTTTTAAGGATCCTTATTAATGAGGGGTATAGGTCCTTTATCTCTTTAAAACATATTTTTCAAGTTTTGGTAACAGGTCTCATAAAATGATTGGGAAAAACTACATGTTGCCTTAGTCCATTCAGACTGCTGTAACACAAATAATCATAGACTAGGTGGCTTAACCAACAAACACTAGTTTCCAAGTTCTGGGAAATCCAAGATTAAGGCGTCTGCAGATTTGGTGTCTGGTGAGTACCTAATTTCTGGTTCCTAAATTGTGGTCTTCTTAACGTGTCCTCCCATGACAGGGAGAATGAGAGAGCTCTCTGGAAGCTCCCTGATAAAGACAATATTTCATTCATGAGGGCTCTACTTTCATGGCCTAATCACCTCCCAAAGGCTCCACCTTCAAATAACATCACATTGGGGGTTAGAGTTTCAATACACGAATTTTTCAGGGACATAGACAATCTGTCAATAACAACCCTCTTCTATTTGCTGGAAGAGTTTGTGTGAAATTTATATTATTTCCTCCTGAAATGTTTGGTAGAATTCGCCAAGTGAGGTTATCTGTGCCAATATCTTCGTGGGAAGGTTTATAACTAAAATTTCAAATTCTTTAATAAGTATAGGACTAATCATTGTAACTGATTTTCCTGAGTGCACTCTCTTGGCTTTTATCTTCCAAATAATATATTCATTTCATGAAATTATTAAAGTTATTTATACTTCTTTTTTCCTTTTGATATTTGTGCAATCTGTGGTGATGTCCCCCTATTTGATTCTTAACTCTGGTATTCTTTTTATTTTTATTTTGTCAGTCTTTTTTTAAATTAGTAATTCTAAAATTCTATAAATTTTATTTATCTATTAAAAGAATCATAATTTGGTCATTTTATTTTAATGATTGCTACTTTGTATTGTTTTCTTCCTTTTTCCTAATTTGTGTTTAATTTGCTCATCTTTTTCAATTTTCTTAATATGGATGATTAGATTATTGAATATAGATACTTATTTTCTTCTAACCTAGGCATGTAGTACAATATATTTTCCTCTAGGCACTGGTCTAGTTATAGCCTATACATTTTGATATGCTCTGTTTTCATGTTTTATGTAATTCAGAATATTTTCTAATTTTCTTTAAAATTTTGACTACTGATTTTTTAGAATATATGTTAGTTAATTTCCAAAT